TATATATATATATATATATATATATATACCAACATTTTCTCCAAAGCAAAAGATACAAAAAGAAAGTAAACTTCTTCTTACCTATTCCCTTCTCCATTTCTATTTCAACTGTCTTGCTGTAAACTTCAGCAAAAATATGAAAATGGATTCTTTTACATAATGGCCTACCTTCAGATATTTTTAACCTTTTTTCAACAGAAAAAAAAAAATCAATTTGATGTGATCAGTTGGAAGAAACTGTCAGATGCCTCATTTAAAATGGGCCAGAAATAAATATGAAAATTGAACAAAGGGCAATTTGAAGGTGAAACTTGCTGGCTCTGTGTGGCAAAGTGTGATGGAATCTCTCTTATCTGGAACAGCAGGCACTGAGCTGGGGGAATTTCTGGGAGCAATTTCATGAGACCACGTGCCACTTGATTTGAGATTCTTATTCTTGGCTCAAGAGAAGCCCTGAAACATCCATCTAAGTGAGTCCAGCATTTCCCTCCCAGGGCCAGGGCAGACCTCACATTGGGCAGCCTGAACCAAATTAAAATCTGGCACTATTCTTAAACACAAAAGCAAAATGAAATATTTCTCATACTTTTTCCCCTAAAGTAAAATAAAAGCTAACTAAACATCCTCAGAATAAAGAGTAAAGTATAATAACTGTGAATTATGGAATAAAGGCTACTTTAATTGGACCCTGGCACAACTTACCATCATTATTGTTGTAAGAGCCATTTGCAACTGAAGAAAAGAGTCTCATTTCTCTCTGCCCATGGTCATTCTGGTATGATGTAGATGTATTTATTTAATGCTTTCTTTGCCACCTAAATTATTAAACTCTTCGACATTAAGTAGAATTCCTCAGCTTTCTTCAACAGTGTCTTGCACAACAGAATTTGGGGTTGGGAAGTCATTTTCTTAATCAATTGGGGGTTGTTTTCTGTATATGTGTACTTGAATATAGATATTTGTTAAATCATTCTTAAACTATTAATCATAATATTGATATATTTTTTTCTTTTTAGACAAGGTCCTTACTCTGCCACTCAGGCTGAAGTGCAGTGGTGATATCATAGCTCACTGTAACCTCAAACTCCTGGGTTCAAGTGATCCTCCTGCCTTAGCGTCCCAGTTAGGATTACAGGAGAGTATCACCTGGCCAGGTTTTAATTTTTTTTGTAGAGCGAGGGTCTCACTATGTTTCCCAACCTGGTCTTAAACTCTTGGCCTCAAGTGATCTTCAGCCTCAGCCTCCTAAAGTGCTGGGATTAAGGGCATGAGCCACTATGCCCAGACCCATGTTCAACAATTCTTAAACTGTGAATCATAATATTAATTTTTTTTTTTTGCTAAATGTGCAGAACTTTTATTTTTATTTTTTATTTCTTTTTTAATTTATTTATTTAACTTAAGGTGCATACTATATCTGGCATTTCTCCCCATGTTATCCCTCCCCACCCTCCCCTCCCTCCCCACATCCCACTGTCTCTCCCCTACCTGCCCAACTGCCCCCAGTGTGTGATGCGCCTCTCCCTAAGCCCACGTGTTCTCATTGTTCAACACCCACCTATGAGTGAGAACATGCGGTGTTTGGCTTTCTGTTCTTTTGTCATTTTGCTGAGAATGATGGTTTCCAGATTCATCCAAGTCTGCACAAAGGACACTATTCTTAATCACTTATTCCAAGGCTTCTACTACAGCTCAGGATTTACCAAGAGTATGCTCTGAGTGGTACTTTCTTCTGAAATGGAAGGCTCTGATATTAAATGTATTTGAAAAATTGTATGAATTGTGTCTCTTTTAGAGAATTATAACACATATACTAAATGTCTTGAGGAATCTTACAGTAAAGCAAGCAATTCAATAAGGACTCTAAACTTACTTGACTGAGGACTTTCCTTTTCCTCAATATTTATTAATCTGAGGGTAGTTCTGAGATACATTTTACAAATGTCATTACATTGTGTTTCTTAGTTTTATTAATGCAGGATTTTCTTTAAAAGATATAGTTACATGATACTGTTTCAACATGACGTTTCCCATAAAATGAATATCATGTGGCAGTAAATTATCTTTGCAAATCAAAAGTACCAGGATAAGCACATTAATTGGAAATTTAGGGGAAATCAAATTTAGAGGGTCACCTGAGTGCCTTAGCAGACAGTAACTAAGTTTAATGATCAATTCCAGTTCAGTTTTTTCCAATACTTTAAATATAACCCATAATGCATTTTCACAGATGGCAAAAATAGATATTAAACTCCATTAGTAGGCTCCACAAGTCTGATGCGGATAAACATTTTTTTTTCTCTTCCTAGAACCTTGTGAAACATCAAGTACATCTCATGGACCAATTAGAGTGATAAACCATCACTGCTGCATCCACACAAACTGTTGTAAGAACAAGTGCAACTGATTGCGAATGAAAATTCTCTAAATCCTAGATATAGGAAGAACTAGAGCAGCTATCTGCTCAGTCTACTAACGTCAATGCAAAAACCTAGGAGGTATATATTTGAATAAAAGCGGGTTAGGGAGGGGAAAGAAAGGCGAAAAAATTATGCTTAAATCCTTAATGAAGAACTACATTATGCCCGGCAAAATCATGAACACCAGAATGAAGTCTCCTTCCTTGGCAAAAGCAAGAACAGGACAGAAGGCTACCACATATAAGATTAAGGCTCTTTGCAAATGGGAGAGTTGCAGGTGTGATAGCTAGAAGTATCTTTCATAAACCTTTAAGTCTCTAAATAATGTGAGTGTTATCAACTCTGTTTTCAAATTAAATTCTCTGTGTATAATTTCACTAATAGCAACCATATGGAAAGCATCTGTAGCTTTCCTCAATTCTAATTTTCATAGGCAGAAGAGACACTGACAAAAATAGCCCCACAATCTGAGAGAGCCACAGCAGACTGACCTAGTTAGATTCTGCAGGCTGAGTGCATCTGAGCTGGCTTAATCCTGCCCTAGCTTTGAGGCTGTGGTTATGTCCCAGAGCTCAGACCTTAGGGTTCACTGGGTCTTGTGAATTCACAGTTTATAGGTCACTTGGGTATTTGAAATCGTTTTGGTACAGATCTGACCGAACCACCTAAAGCTATCCCAAAATCAACTCTCTGTAATAGGAAGATTTCTGAAATCATCATTCTCAAAACAATAAAAATTTAAATAAACAAAACCCATAATGATATCAAATGGCAAATGTTAAAATGGAAAATTATCTATAACACATTTGACAAGAAAAGGTAAGTACATTTTATTTATAAAAAGTTTAAGCACCCCAATAAAAAATGTCCAAAGAAATATGTAATTGACAAAAGAAAGGAAAAATGCTAACAAGTATATAAAAATGTTTAACATCAGCAGTAGTCAGAGAAATGCAGACTAAAACATTAACCACCTATGGAAGGGGCAGGCTTGAAAAATCTAAAACATAAAATAAACCAACCATTTCTTTATCCATGAGATTGACAAGTGGTGGTGGGAGGTGGAAAATTACATCTGAATCCTTAATGAAGAAATCCTAGCCGGGCGCGGTGGCTCACGCTTGTAATCCCAGCACTTTGGGAGGCCGAGGTGGGTGGATCACGAGGTCAAGAGATCTAGACCATCCTGGTCAACACGGTGAAACCCCGTCTCTACTAAAAATACAAAAAATTAGCTGGGCATGGTGGCGCGTGCCTGTAATCCCAGCTACTCAGGAGGCTGAGGCAGGAGAATTGCCTGAACCCAGGAGGCGGAGGTTGCGGTGAGCCGAGATCGCGCCATTGCACTCCAGCCTGGGTAACAAGAGCGAAACTCCGTCTCAAAAAAAAAAAAAAAGAAATCCTAAATAAGAGGAGAGCCATCTTAACCATTGCAGAAGAATGTTTTGAAAATGCTTCTGATGTAAACTGTAAAGATGGGCTGTAAAATCACAGTATAATGACATGTCACATTTGTAAACACACATATACGTTCGTTTATACACCAGAATAATAAATACCAAAATGTTAACATAGTTATACAGAGATGGTACGGATTATAGATGATTTAGAAACAATTTAAATTTTTTATTTTCTAAATAAATATGGCCAGGTGCAGCGGCTCACACCTGTAATCCCAGCACTTTGGCAGGCCAAGGTGGAAGGATTGCTTGAGGCCAGTAATTTGAGAGCAACCTGGGTAACACAGTGAGACCTTGTTTCTACAAAAATAATAATAAAAAAAAAAATTAGCCAGGCATGGTGGCATGTGCTTGTAGTCTCAGACACTCAAGAGGCTGAGCAGGGAGAATTGCTTGAGCCCAGGAGTTCGAGGCTGCAGTGAGCTATGATAGTGCCACTGTACTCCCACCTGAGCGACAGAGCATGACTCGATCTCCGGAAAAAATGTACTTATTACTTTTCTAATCAGAAAAATGCATGTTACATATACAATATTTAGGCAGTGACAAGTGAGAGATGTCTAGAGGTGATTTCTGTTCACAATTTTCTGTGTTCCGCTTGTTAGTGATGGCACAAAAGATGCTTGAGGTTGGACCATTAACATGGGTATGCACTTCATATGCTAATATATAACAGAGCTGAAAGTCCTCTGTTAAGAGTCATGCTTATTCTGGGAAAAAGGTCTCTCAAAAAAATTTTAGAAAGACAGCATTATTGCAAAAGGGAAGCTTACATTTTATTTACTTTCACAAGATGTTCATATTTAGCTAATCATAACATTTCGATAATGATTTCATTTTCAAAATCACTTTTTAAAGTTTTAAATAGTTTCTAGATAATATTCTTTTATTATTATTACTCAAAGTTTCATTTTTTATTTAGCTTTCTGACTCTGTGCTTGCGCCTTCAACACTTTCACAATGATCTTCTGCTCCTCGATAAAGCAAGCACGCTTGATCCTGTCACCAACACATTTAGCACACATGGAACCACCACAGGCCCTGCTGACATGTCTCTTTGTTTTGGACAATCTCATAAGCACTTTAGGTCTTACAGCACGAACCCCTCGAAGCCTGCCTTGGCAAACGCCACATGCTGATTTTGGTGCTTCCCCGATCTTCTTGGTATAAAGGTAAACAATTCTATTACCAGGGGTCCGGGACAGCCTAGTGTTGCTGGAGGCGGTATTGTAGGAAAGCCTACGCCGGTATGTCAAACGCTGGGCCATTCCGAGTGCCTGCACACAACGTCCCCGGAAGAGGAAGAAGCCTAGATAATATTCTTATACAAGCTTTTCCAGTTTGGGGAAAAACCATATGCTAAGTATTAGCTTCTCTCACATTTTTATTCACTTAAAGTTTTGTGATAGTAGTGACACTATCTTGGCATTCTTTTCACAAAGCCTTTTTTGGGTATCAATTGTAGCAGAAGATGACAATATGTTTCCCACATTTATTTTATGAAGAGAATACGCTCCAAGAAAAAACTTATCACACAAAATTCTACTTTTGTTTATAAAATATAAAATAATAGTGTCTCCTCTGGTAAAGCAACAAAATATTGATTCTCGCTATCTGCCATGCTAGGTACTTCTTAATAAAGTTCTTAGATGCAATGGGAAATAACTAATAGCACATTACAGGAAACACATGCAAGTCATAGTTAGGAATCTTAAAATTTTAGGCATAATCTGTCAATCCCCAAACAGACTATGCTTACCTTCACCGTCCCTCTTTTTTGCAATGTTTTTTGTTTTGTTTTGTTTTTTACCAATTTCTGATTTCTATTATTTTAAAAATTTGTTTTTTTAGGAATGTTGGTTTCACTATGTTGCCTAGGCTGGCCTCAAACTGCTGAGCTCAAGCAATCTTCCCAAGTAGCTGAGACTATAGAGGTAGCCCATCACATCCAGCTACGATTTCCGCTTTTAATAGGCACAGAAAGAGTCCAATAGGTGCTAACCTCCTTGAAAAACACTGCAAGCCATTTCAAATAAGGACATATCTGTACTTCTAAGAGCTGACCAGTTATATTTTTTTCAATGAAATTTCACAATTCACCATGCCATCTGTGGGGGAAGGAGGACCAATGCATGTTGTACTATAAGTAAGGAATTGTATAAATTCACTTATATCCTGAAAAACAACTCATGAATCCTCAACCAGAAAAAAAGGATATTTCTTTTGCTATTAACCAGCAAATACTTGATTAATATCTGTCCTTTTGTCTCCAACATTAATGATTCCCGTTTTTCTTTTCCATTCTTGCCTAGGCCTATAACTTTGCCTTACTGCTTCATACTATTTATTTGGCAACAATATACTCTAGGAAATCCTTACCTCATTACAATGCTCTGTAACATCAGGTTTCCTTTCTCTTTCTTTTTTGAGACGGAGTTTTGCTCTGTGACCTAGGCTGGAGTGTAGTGGCGTAATTACAGCTCACTGTAACCTTTGCTTCCTGGGTTCAAGGGAGTCTTGTGCCTCAGCCTCCTGAGTAGCTGGGACTATAGGTGCATGATACCCACCCAGCTAATTTTTGTAATTTTCAGTAGAGACAGGGTTTCACCATGTTGGCCAGGCTGCTCTTGAACTTCTGACCTCAGGTGATCTGCCTGCCTCAGCCTCTTAAAGTGCTGGCAATATAGGTGAGAGCCACCACGACTGGCCTGTAACATCAGGTTTCTTATACTGCGGACCTTGATGATCCTGGAGACAAGTCCCCATGGCAGTCTCCTGCCTTCTACCATGGATGGATGTATCTATTTGCCACAAAGATTCGTAAGACACTTGTGAACTGGAGTCAGCCAAATACATACTATTCCGCTTCTAGATATATATAAGCTGGCACAAGACAGCCTGTGAGTTTATAAAAAGTAAAAATCCTTTTATGTCTACATGAAAAGTCACAAGAAAATACTCTAGTCATTAAGCCTTCAATAATCACATGCTGTAATTATTAACCCTGTGCTTATTAAGTTCCTTCAAAACAGAAGTGGCAGAAGCAACCCAAAGAGCCACGAATAGAAAAATCATTATTATTAAGATTTAGGAACATCACACTTAGAAACCATCAGAAAGATTTTCTTCAGTAGCTGGATAAAATTCTAATATAATTTAGTTATAGGAAATATAGAATTCAAGGAAAAGTTAGTTCCATTATACTTATTATATTGTTTTAATGACACAAATATGCCAAATAATGTCATTAAGGTATAGTATGACCTCAGTTAATTAAACTTAGCTGGTTATCATGCTCTCACATTATTCTCACATCTCACATTATTCTTACACCTTTTGGATTCAGTATGCTCTTACACCCTTTTCTCAATAATCCAAGCCACCAAAGGATCTGATGAGTGTTTTCTCACCCTAATTATTAAATGGATTACAATTCAGTATTATCAACCAAGGGATGAATTGTTTTTTTCGGACATTTGAATTTACTTCTCTAGTAGCAAAGCAAAAATGGGATCCCTCAGGTACCTGATTTCAGACGTCAGCACATAGCATGATCTTTCAGGGTATGCGTCTGAATTCATCCTTTTGGGATAAGTGGAAGTGAAAACACGTATGTGCCTGTCTCCCCAGATACCTGTCTGTGCTGCTTGGAAGATAAGCCAAGCTTGGCACTAAGGTATATTCCCATCATCACTGTTTCTGTGGGCCTGTTTCCCGGCTCTCTCATACCTACAGATCTGCCTGACAGTTCCTTGCCTACAGACTCTCATTCTACATCCCCTCCAGAGTGCATCTTATCCCCCAAACATCCCCTTCCCTTCTCCCCATAATCACTCCTCTTTTAGATGGAGACTTCATGCTGCAAAGACTTCAGCATTACTGTTGTTAGGAATTTGTGATGTCTTTAAACTTTAACTTTTTTATGAAGTCCTAGAATCCATCTCTACCCTTCTATGTCATTGTTGCCTAGAATAATGATGCTTCTGAAAGTGAAAGATGTTAACTGTATAAATTATCACAGACTACTGAACTTGTTTTTAACTGGTAGTATTTTTTTAATTAAAAAATGTACAAATTCCCCTTCCTGTGTCCACGTGTTCTCACTGTTCAACTTATAAGTGAGAACATTGTTTGGTTTTCTGTTTCTGTGTTAGTTTGCTGAGAATGATGGTTTCCAGCTTGTCGGGGGTGGGAGGCTAAGGGAGGGATAGTATTAGGAGAAATATTTAATGTAGATGATGGGTTGATGGGTGCACCAAACCACCATGGCACGTGTATACCTATGTAACAAACCTGCATGTTCTGCACATGTATCCCAGAACTTAAAATATAATAATAATTTAAAAAGAAAAACAGGTAATAATATTATCTGTACCACAAAAAAAATGTAAAAATTATACCATAAGAGACTAAAATTTGAACAGATTTTCTTCATTGTACTTTGTGCTAAGCTGAACAACATGAAATTATCATATTAGGTCAAAAATAGTCAAGTAGGGCAATTTCATATAATTCAGTCTAATATCTGACTCAATTTATGCCAATGATTTTAAGTGCCAGGATGAGCTGTCTGTGCAAAGACAGATGACAATCAGCAAGCCTCTTGTTGCTAGGACAAAGCTGTTTATGACTAGTGACCTAGATTTCTCACCCTGTGGTGCCCAAAGCCAGTCTATTCAATGGCATCACCCAGTTTATCATGACAACGACTTCAGATGGTAGGCAGCCATTACTCACACAGTAGCACAGATGAAGAACCACCACCCTGTGGGCAAACCTGTATTCCTGTGCAAAGAATAAAACTGAAGAATAAAACATAATAAAAGTAGGGCTTTACTATAATCTCTCCCCTCTTATTTTCTTTTCAAAATCATTTTTATAATGTGAGTCTAACATTCAATTAGTGGGTTATATAGATTGAGTGGAAATTCTAGATTTAAATACAGAAATAGACCAAAAAGCCAATACATTAAAATGATGCCCCTATAATCTTGCCCACATGATTGGTTGGCTCTATTTGGTTTTAGATTCTGATCTGAAAGAATGGCATTTACAGGAAGACAGCAGAATAAACATGTTACACATGCATTAAGTCTACATAATAAATAGTCACCCAGAGCTTCTACATAATCAATCATCTGTATCTCAACATTCAGCTAAATTATAGGGAAACTGGGAAGAGTGGGGGGAAAAGACATCTTCTCTGTCTTGCTCCCCAACCCTCGAGTTTATATTCCAAAAGAAGGTTGTTAGGACATGTAAACAAATAGATATAGTGCAAGACAGAGGACCCCTCTCTGGGCCAGGGGCGGGGGTTGGGAGGAGAGGTGGTTTTAGAATGAAACGGTTACACCTCAGATCATCAGACATTAGATTCTCATAAGGAGTGCACAACCTAGATCCCTTGCATGCACAGACATTACAGAATATATATGTACTTTAGGCAGTAAATACAACACACTTGCAATAACTTCTTTACAGTCTTTGGATTCAGTAATATAAACACAGTTATCTCTAAGCCAGGAAGTGCACCTAGTATCTTTACAGTGACTACTAAGTACTTTTGAACTCAAAGCATATATTCATCTTAAACTTCTGGAACCGTGCACTCTCCCACATAATTTTCTGATGAATGAAGGGAAAAGGAAAACTTTCTTTCAAATAAGTGTCATCTGTTGCAAAAGTACATGATTTAAAAATACATGTAAATATAATCTTAGCTCTAATGTTTTCCTTTGGGAGTTTGGAAAAAGGCAGTTATATTTCTCTGCTGTCTGGTTTTTTTCATTTGAAAATTGGAAGATTCATTCTGATTACTGAGCTACATCAGTAGGGTTTAAATGATTTTGAAATTACAGTTCAAAGGGCAATATTTCCATAAAAGAAGAAAATACAGAAAAGTAATGAAAATAAAATTATGTATCTTAACTTAGCTAAATGAACTCTAGAAATTTTTCTGAAAACCAAGAGATAAAGAAATGGTGAATGATATATTCATTCATATTCTCAGGAGCAAAGGCAGTGGCTTACACCAAGGCCTGTTATAGTATTATTAAATAAAGTACTTAATGTCTGTCTACTTGGATGGAGGAAACACCACTGGACACAAATAGTATATATATATTTGTATAATTTTTTATTATGTAAAATTAATAAATCCTATGTTCTAGAGCTAAAAATTGTTTGAGGGGAAAAGCCAGATTGGAAAAATTCTTTTGAAGAAAATAATATAAACCATAAAACTGTTAATAGTGCCAAGAAACAATGTGAAAGCAATGTCTCTTCCCAGTTTTTTTTTGTGCTCTTTTCTTCTTTCTTTTTTAAAAGAGATCTCACACTGTCCCCTAGGCTGCAGTGCACTGGCTTGATCATGGTTCACTGCAGCCTGGACTTCCTGGGCTCAAGGGATCCTGCCTCAGACACCAGATTAGGTGGGGCTACAGGTGCGCACTTGCCACACCTGGCTTTTATCTTCAACTTTTCTAAAATAAACATTTGAAGAAGAGAAACTAAGAGACCATTTGTCAGTTTAACACGCCCCTTACAAGT